TGTCAAAACGGACGCCATTCCAAGAAATATTTAGCTGTGATCATCGGGACGCCTGTAACGACGTCGCCGCCGTTTAGAGAGTCGCGTCATAGTAGAGTGTGTTGCTCCGGTACTTATAGGTCTGTGTTCATTAGGACGCCACTAAATTCGACGTCGATCAGGAACTAACAGTGTGATAGCGTGGCATGGCGTGGCGTGGGGTGGCCTTAGCCCTAGTATGTACGCAGCACATGGAAAAACATACGCACAGATCTTCAAGACGTGGAGTTGGGGTTGGTGGCATGGCGTGGGGTGTGGCCTAATGGGGTCCACGCTTAATATATTTCTTTAAAAATTAACGAATGGGGATAAGATTCTAACACTAATTTGCATTGTTCTCGGCTCTAATTAAAATGGACAAAGCTTGTCTAAAGATTGTCTTTACAAGAGGAACAACTTGTTTATTATTGACATTTTGAGGACATTTTTTTTCGAACGAAACCGTTTTGGAGAAAATTTAAAAAGAACGGGATAAAATAGTTGAATTTTTACAACAATTCAAACAATCAAAACGCGTTTCCATGGTACTAATTTCGTTTTCATTCTTTGATAGATTATGGAATGGATTATGGATAAATTGTTATTGATAGAATTTATAATAGAATTTTAATTAATGTCATATTTTTTGCTGTCTTAAAATGTTAAGGAAGGACATTTATTTAGTTCAATACTACGGAAAGAGTGGTAATAGTTATCGGAAAATGTGACATTTTAGCAACAGCAAAAAATAAGACGTTAATCAAAGTTAACAATAATCTATCAAAGAATGAAATCGAAATTATATACAAAGTGTTCCAATACTCCGCGGATATAGGACTACTACATATTTTTGAAATCAAAATAAGTTCATTGGACACAATTTAACTTTACAAAAGTGCTTCGTTTGTCCGCTAGGGGGCATACCCCCTAGCATCAATCTTTAAAAAATAAACACATTTTTTCCATATACATATCAAATATATACAGATTATCGCCTATCCCTGCAATGTGTTGGAGTTGAAGCCGAGTTAGAGACAACTAGATAAAACCGGTCCATGTACATTTCACATAAGTTCGTCTGTTAGGCAGATACTGGCGCAACAGCGCAACTCCAAACTTCCGAATATCGATTAGCCCTTACTCTGAGGATTAGCCATTTGTCGAACGGGAACGCAAACGAAAGGTGTACGAAGTTGGACGAAGCCGTACGAATGAACAGCGGCTTGCGCACTACGCTTGAGCACAGCTAACTGAGGGACTTATCCGAATTCCTTCAGAAGACTTATATACCCATTTCACCGGCTTGGCTTCAAAGAATGCAGTTTGGAGTCGATATTCTTTAGTCAATATATATATTATTTTTTCAAACACATCTCGAAAGAAATGAGACTTACAAAAAAATTAATTTTATATAAGTAGTACTTTTAGTACGCAACCAGATAGATTATATTCTCTCTAACTCGAGATGGAGAACCTCGTTCAGGACAGTACGGACTTACCCCGGAGCAATATGTGGCTCGGATCATAAGTTACTGGCAGCAAAGATTCGTATAAAGTTAAAAAATGTTGTAAGAAAACCAAGACCAAATCAGATGGAGATCCCCGACGTAACACATTTCCAACAAGAACTACTGAAAACATCGTGGAACATTAACGAGAACACCCAACCCCAACAGATTTGGATAGACTTTAAAAATTGTCTGAGTAATGCCACTTCTCGACAACTAAACAAAAGACAAAAAAACAAACATTGAATTTCTGACAGCACATTGCTAAAAATTGAATAAAGACGAACATTAGTGCAAAGTGGTATAAAAACACAAGATGAAAAAGATAAATATAGAAAAATAAATACAGAGATCAAACACAGTTCCACCATCGACAAAAACAACTACTATGAAAAATATGCAGGAAATAGAATCTCACGCTTTCACAAATCAACCAGGAGACCTATTTAAAAAGATAAAGTACCTCACAAGAGAATTCAAGCCAAAAACATGGGCAATAGAAGACGATCGAGGACAACTTAAAACCGAAATTAACGAAATAGTGGAACGATGGCGAACATACTGCGGAACACTGTATAAAGAAAAAGATCCTCAGCGTAGTTGCTCTTTCCACAGTGATATAATTAGTGAAGAACCAGACATACTGAAATCGGAAATTGAAGCAGCAATAAAAAACCTAAAACATCATACAGCCCCGGGACCAGATCACATCACGGCCGAAATGCTCCAAGCGTCGGGAGATTTTGGTGTGGACAAGTTATGTAATATGATATGGCATACTCACCAATGGCCATCAGATTGGACCGATTGTTCCATAATAACCATCCACAAAAAAGGATCTCCAGCCAAATGCGACAACTTTCGTACCATTGCGCTAATTTCACATGCCAGTAAGATTCTTCTTCATATCATTAACGAAAGGTTAAAACCATATATTCAACCACAAATCCCTCCAGAGCAAGCAGGATTCACAAGAGGTCGAGGAACAGGTGAACAAATTTTGAATGTCCGTCAGATTATCGAAAAGGCCCGAGAATTTAACAATCCGTTCTATATTTCTTTCATAGACTATCGAAAAGCTTTTGACAAAGTCAAATGGTCAAAACTATGGATGGTTCTTAAAGAAATGGGCGTGCCTCTTCATTCGATTTCATTGATCCAGAATCTCTATGTAAATACCAAAAGTAGAATTACCATCAATGGCGTTACTTCGGAAGACTTCCAGCCTACCTGTGGTGTTAGACAGGGGTGCATATGGAGACAAACCTCACACATCACCTGACCACTACATTCCTCTTGTAGGAATAAAGACAGAGAGAGAGAGTACTTTTATGTTCCTGATGTTTATATTTTTTAGTTTTTATTGTTTGTAGTTACATATTGTGAAAATAAATCGTTTTATTTTAAGTGGTTTTATTTCTTATCTGTACCTACAAAAAATTAATACCTAATACAGATCATAAGAAAATCGGTAAGCGGTAATACAAAAAAATTAATATTAACTTATAAAAAATACATAAAAACGATTTATAACGTTATATTGAGTTAAATCTTTACAAAAATGACTTGATTTCTGACTTGAAATAAAATGATTTAAGTCAAAGACTTAACACTTAAATCATTTGAACCTTATGTTAAAATTGATTTAAGATTTAAATCATTTTCATTTTAGAAATAAAGGTAGTATCAGACACAGCTACTTTTGTTGCGCAATTTTTTTGCCGCCGCTGCAAAAGTTGCATGCAGTGTTCACCAGCAGAAAGTAGCCCAAAACGCGCAGTTTTTATTATAAGTTGCAGGTCGACACAACATGCTTTTCATATGTTCACACCAAAGCGCTACTTATGCCACATATTTTAGTAGCCGCAGCCTTGGAGGGGCAACATTCAACAGTAGGTACACCACAGCTCAAGGTATCGTATGTGTACCTTTTGGGAGACGGTTGCGTTTTTTTTAAATGGATGACGAGACAGTGTTAGCGTTAGCAGCGGCATATATGTGACTTTGGCGGCAAAACAAAAGCGGCGACAAAAAAAAAACAAGAGTGTGGGTCAGGGAATGGATAAGAAAGCGCCAACAGTTGGGTGCATTCAATAATTTACTTCCTGAATTGCATGCTCAAGACGAGTGGCACTTTTTCTTTGGCAAAATTACTAAGGGAACTAAATCAGAAAAAGTAAGTCCGCGAATTCGGATTTTATTTTTTTTGTCTTCATCGGGCATATGTAATTCAGAAGAAATTTCCGAAATAGCGGCTAGTCTTTTCGTTTGGTTGTGATAGTGTTTACGTTCCATAAACACTCCCTTGCTTCTACCGCTACTATTAAACATTTTACTTGTTCTCTGTTCCAAATCGCTTGTTTTGACTTGGACAACATTGCAATTTGTCGGTTAATTCTTTACTAAATACCTACATATAAATCCTGGAGTTAACTGAAAAAAAAGTGTGTACATTTCGGGCATACCAACAAAATACTGCACCGATGTCGGCAGTAAAAGTTTCAACTGATTAGTAATCTTCTTAAATACTGGAGTTAACTGAAAAAAAGTGTGTACATTTCGGGCATACCAACAAAATACTGCACCGATGTCGGCAGTAAAAGTTTCAACTGATTAGTAATCTTTTGCTGCACTTGCAACCTTCCTCAACAACTGTTCACACACGGCTATTTCTTAAACTGCGCGCAACAAAAAAGTAGCCTACGCAACCAAGCTGCGATCGCAACGTTGCAGGGTGCCTATGTATTCACACTTGCAGCAGATCAAGTTGCGCAGTTTTTTAATGTGCTGCGCAACAAAAGTAGCTATGTCTGATACTACCTTAACTTAAGACTTAAGATTTACTCTCTAATACCGGATAAATAATGGTATTTAACCAAATTCAATATACCCTGTATTTACCCACTGGGTATACTGGGTGCAAGAGCTTGGGTATTTATCCAAATTTCAATATATCGGGTGTTTGCCCATCACTGATAACATATCTTTTACAGTTAGTAGCTCTAAAAATTTGAAATAACTTTTTTTTTCAAAAATGGCTAAATTTCGATATAGAGTGTTTGATATCAAAAGTCATCCATTTTTACAGAGAATTTAAGTCTAAAAATAAAATGGGGATATTAATTAAGATATCCATTTAAAATAAAAAACTTCCTATCAAGTCCCGGATGTGGCGCCATACTGCAAATATTTTTAATTATCGGATCTTGTCGTGAAATATTGATATGCGAAAAAGCTCTGATCTAGATATTTAGTTCTCTAGAAATTTCTAATGCAAGCTCAGGCAGGCACACCCTGTATATTATTTAAACGAGACAATGGTGATTTGAATGGTTAGTGATACAACTCTGTAACTAAATAGTGATCGGTAGCGATGAAGAATACTGACCTTGGCCGTATAAACTAAACGGCAAGCGACAGTATTCTTTATCGCTACCGATCGCTATTTCGTTACAGAGTTCCACCTTTGCTTACCTATGACTACAAGATCTATGTCGCTCGTTGGCAAGTACAGCCCTGTACGATAGGAACCGAACACTTCAACTTGGGCTTCGGGCCATTTGGAAACAATAATATCTTCGATTCTGGACACCACTCCTGCCCTCACTTTGTGTTCAGCATCTGTGGGGCTCATATAATTGTAAAAATGTTCGATCTCTTCATGAAGTCTAAAAAATAAGAAAAAACTATTGCACCTATGTACATTACAATAGTAATAAAATAGATTATCAATTATACATTAAAATATAACAAATTTTAATGTATAATTGTAATTAGGGTGCGCGTATACTCCAAAAATGAAAGTAAATGGCAATAATTCTGTTCGGATTAGTCAAGTAACAATTAAACGTTTATATCAACAAAAAAAAATATGGTCCCTGGATAAATAAATTAATATAGCCTTTATCAAAAAAGAAAATTGTACAGGGTGTCCCACTAAGAATAGCTCTCGGCTGTATCTAGGAAATTATTAGCTATAGGGCTTGCGGAAAAAAATATTTGTAGCTAAAGAGACCATGAGACCATGAAAAATTGCTGGAAATTATTTTCAAGTCTGTAGAACGGCCGCTAAACATTTGACATTTTAAGCTTTTATTAGTCTTTATTATGAGCTAAAATTACATATACTATCGCATTTAATTTTTTTGTAAAAATACGCAATGTTTGATAAATTGTAAAACAGTGCCCCCTAGCGTCTACATTCAAAAGCTTATTATTACTATTTATATGGTATAATAATATAGAGTAAGAAACGCTCTTTTAAACGAGCCCCCGTTCATCCAGTACGGAGTTATTAATATTTAAATAAAAACAGATCTAATCTTCCTCCACCACTTTATTTTGGCAGATAAGGCAAAATGGTTCAAACAAAAAATATTCAAAATTTACTGAAGATTATGAAGCTATTATTTATAGTACCTGTTATCTAGGCGAAATTGTGTAAAACTCCTTTTTCTTATTTTTCTAATAGCAGTTGCGCCCTCTAGCGGCCTTTCTACAAACTTGTAAATAATTTCCATCAATTTCTCATGGTCTCTTTAATAGACACCCTGTACAAAGAGCAATTAATTATAAAGCTAATTATAAAGAACAATTATAAGATTACAAAACTGTACAAAGTGATAAAAGGGCGATGTTTAGCTCCAGTGCTAATTTACTTAAGCCTCGTACCACAAAAAAAAAGAGTAAAGTGCTTAATTAACTAATACTATTTCTTCAAAGAGAGTTTGCCAGAACCAGAAAACAAAACACAAATCCAAGAGGGATACGCTCAAATAGGAAATAACAAGTATTTAGGTATGTACCTAATGTGTGGTACACAAACAAAAAACATGGGAGTGAAAACATGAGAAAAAATCTTCAAAATATGTACCAAGATGTCTCTGCTGATATCTATTTAACATATTATAAGAGAACAGAATATCAAATAAACACTTTTATTATGAAGTCAATATTCTGATTTAGTGATTTTTAATTTTATATATACAGGGTGTCTCAGATTTTAATCGGGAAAATTTAATAGACGATAGAACTTGCAAAAATAAAACAATAAGTTCATGTCAACTTGTAAGATTTAAAGCTTCCTTTTCGAGATACAGGGTGTTAAAGTTACTTATAAAAGAAAAAAAAATTAAGATATTTGAAAAACTATTTAATCAATTTTGATATAACTTGACCCGTTTATAATACAATAATACTTACTATGGGACTTAATTTGATGTATGTAATTAGATTTAAGTATAATCGCCAGGGGCAGCGGTGGGGCATCACTGTTAAATTATTTTAAATGAAAAAATAGGCACGCCACTGCTTTTTTAGAAGTTTAATATTATTTTTGGATTTAATAATTAAAAATATTATTTTTTGTCTCCTGACTTTTTGTCTATCTTGCTTACTTCTTGCGAAAAAAATTTAATTCTAATTGGTAATTAATATTATAATTGGTATTCTAATGGTACCCTGTATCTCAAAAAGGAAACTTTAAATCTTACAAGTTGATATAAACTTATAAAGTTCTATCGTCTATTAAATTTTCCCGATTAAAATCTGAGACACCCTGTATATATATATGTATAAACAAATACCTAGTACGTATATAAACAAAGAGTATCAGTTATTTTCAAACGCTTTCTTTTAAAACTATATAAGTGACTGGTATAATAGTAGTAAATAAACTTTTCTTGAAATTTCTCCTATTGCGTTAGCCAGCCAACAGAAACACTTTCACTCTAAAAACGAACCACCAAAATTTATATTGCTCTGCTCTAGACTACTTTTATTTTTTGTTTTGTCTCTAGAGCCTAGAGAACACAAAAAATAAAAATAGGTATGTTCTACACTCGGTTCTACAAAAAAGAAACACATTAAAATTTACAAAATATTGCAACATTGATATTATTTTGATAATCTTTGAATATTAATCAACTTATAAAAAGTGCTCTTTTTAATTGAAATCTCATGTAATACAATAATCACAGCAGTTTTTTTGAAAGAATTGCACACACTAAATTTTCTCTACTATCTGGTAAAATATGCTGTAAAAATTGTATTCAAGATAAATGAATCAAATACCGTATGATCGAATAAAAACGGCATCAGCGATGGCTATGAAATGAAAAGCGCTGTCATTTTATATGGGAAATGTCATCGATGTTCATTTCATAGCCATCGCTAGAGCTACCATTTGGAAATAATGAAAAATTTGCTTATTGAAAGACGGCATTTAAAGCAACAATGTTGCCAGATTTAAAAAAAAAACTTCAAATACGTTTAGGTATTTTAGTTTGGTAGACAAAAACACATTACCTAATACAAGTCTTATACAGTAAGATTTCTTCACTGTCAATGGTAAAATCGATACTAAAACAACCCATATTTACACGATTAAAATAAAGTTTAAAACTTAAAATTAATTGGAGCTTAAAAAATCGCATAAAACGACAAATCTAATCCACATAGATACGCGACAAAATTGAAAATAATTTTGTCGCATACAATCTTCGGAATTTAAATATAAAAAAATATCTTAAAAAAATAGTACCGCTGTTTTTTACATCGGCAACGTTGCAGTATACATATACCTATGTTCTTATTTAAATCATATCAAATTACCTCCTTTTTTTGTACCCTGCTACATTTATACCTACATAAAATGTATATTTAAAATTAATACTGAAGATATGAATTCCATTTAAATGCTAGGTGCATTTTAATAATTTTATTATATCTAGTTGACAAGCAATGTTTACAAAAAAATTAAGTGTCAAATTCACATAAACGGGCATAAACCTCAAACCGATGTTGCCAAATTACAAATTATTTGTTGACTTAGACACTGACTTAACAAATATTAGAAATATTTTCTTACTAAACACACATCGCAAATAACAGATACGCAATGAAAAGCATTAAGCCTTACTTACTAAAAATTGTCGGTTACCAATTTGTCTATTGCTGGAAAGAAATGGGTGCTATTTTTATCTTTAGACATATATGATATGTTTGATACATTGATACATTTCATATTAAGTATGTTAAGCACAAAAATCCTCTATTGTTGTGTTAAAAAATAAATCAGAAAAGTTTTAATATTTCTAGAATGACAAATCTGACAACGTTGCATGAAAGCCATCTTCCATCTTATGTCAGACGCCGAAGTATAACGAAGTGACGATTACACATATTGGTTAATAAACCACGTTTTTTTTATTTATAAAGTCCTACTCACCCTATAAGACCTCTAGAATATTGAAATTTGTCCAATCTCCATGGACAACCCCCAAAATCTGTAACGAATTTCCTGTGCAAAGGCCTCTGACGGTTCTCACTCCTGGTTCGCCTGACGCGGGCGTTATTTTCACTTCTATCCGTTTTACCATTCATAATCGTGTTCGGATGATTATTAAAACCATTCGTTATACCCTCTGCATCATTGTCACTATCTTTCAAGTTCATACTCTCAATTTCTTGTTGAGTTTGCCACACTCTGAGCCAGAGAATCTTAGCTGGTCCGTCCTGTTCCGGCATCAACCAAGTTAAACAGGCATCCATTAAAATATCACGACCGCGCGTAAAACGCCACGATATCACTGGTATTCGAGCATGAACCGTAGCGATCAGTAGATACTTCTGGTCTTTAAAAAGAGAAAATGTCACACCTTCGTACGCTATCACCAGTTATCACACGACCGCGACTGACATAAAGTAACACCAAAGCGACTGATACAGACATAGAAAAACGACTGTCCAGGTGTCAAGCATGTGTCAAGTGTCAAGCCCACAGTCAAGCCTGTCAAGCATAGTGTTCACCATAGAATCATTAACTGAACCACAGAGAATATAGATATATATATATATATAAGAAATATAAAGTCATCATAGAAAAATATAAAGCTTCTCGGTACAATTGGTAATGGTGTGGTTCCGGTGGCTGACCTTGAAACGAGTTTTTGCTGCATATAGTCACAGACACTACGCATGCGCACATCTTCGATGTTGCCAGATTGCAAGTTATTTTGGAATTATTTTCAGTAGAAAACAAATATGTGCTTTTCAGTGTTTTTTTGTCAATATATACCGTATGACCGAAAAAACGGCGTCCAGTTGGCTGGGAAATGACGATTAAGGACATTTCCCATATAAAATGACAGCGATCTTCATTTCATAGTCATCCCTGACGCTATTTTTTTTCAATCATAGTACGCGGTATATTATTTATGTTATTATTTTAATATTTCGCACAATACCTGAATAGAAATAAAACTCTAGATTCCTATAATTAATCTATTTGCTCTAGATTATTATGCTACGTTTAAAAAGGGCTTTATTAAAAATTCGGGAAATTAAAAGGGATGTGTCCAAGTTTTTTCTTTTTTTTTAATTTTTAAATGCTGTAGCTCCATGTCATGTTCATAATAGTTTTTTTAACATTCCATCAAAACTACGGAGGCCTTAATTTAAAAGGCCTTTTAGCCTCCGTAATTAAAATGGTAGAATCAGCTTCAGCAACATTAACAGTTACCTTGTTTAATCTGCTTATACATATATTGCATTAATTTTTCTGCTACCTTAAGATTTCTCTATTCTTACACCTAATTTATGTGATTTTCTTAGCATATGTGATATATGATTTATAAACCATTTTTTTCCTAATGGAAGGATGGAATAGGATATATGCAAAATTAAGATATTTTAACATTTATTTTCCAGACAAAGCATAATATAGTATTAAGATTGAGACAACAAATATAAGAAAGATCTTAATATAAATCACAAACTAAGTCTTAATTTGGGCTTGTATAAACACAGGTATAAAACCACAGATAACACATAAAAAAGATTATGTGTTATCTGTGATAAAACTAATAAGATCAAAACTCAACCTTCACCGTATTGTCAAGATTTGGCATTATAGGAAACAAGAAATTACAGTAAATTAAGAAAAGAATATCAAAGTATACGACATTAAATACTGTAAAGTATTCTACGACACAAACCATCTCCCTTCTAAAGAGAAAAAGATAAAACATAAAGCTTATTTTAGTCTTATCACCACAACTCTTCGATAAAAAATATATGTCTAAAATTGCTATTAATCCACTAACTTGATATGTTTAAGAAATTATGATACCAACATTATAATCAAAGTATATTATATTAGTAACATTATAGGTAAAATGTTACCTCTATCTCCCATTGACGTGTATTGTTCTATAAGACTCGTCATGGTAGTACTTCAATACATCAATACCTATATATAATCAAAACTATTGTTGCCTGTAAATAACTAGAAATTAAATAACTTGAAAGAAATAAAATAATTCTAAGAAGTTTAAAACCATTAAGAAAAAATCAGTAAATGATAATTTTTAATTCTAATGTAAATATATAAATAAATGTTTTATTATTATTACAATTTTATATATTCAATTTTATATATCATTCCTTAATTTTGGATATCTGATATATAAAATGATAAGATAAATCTGAAATTATAAAATTAATTATAGAATTTGTATTATTATTGATTAACACTCAAAAAAAATTTTCAACTGCAAATAATTCGAAAATAAACTGCAATTTGGCAACCTCGACGATGTGCGCTTGCGTAGTATCGATGATCAAATGCAGTAAATATGGGCTTCAAGGTCAGCCAGCGGATCCACACCTTTACCAGCTTCTCTATGGTATTCACCAGGGGCGGGAAAGTGAAATAGCAAAAGCGGTTCCACCATAGAGAAAGTTAATAGTTTAGAGAGTGGTGAATCGCGTGGTAAAATATTGGGAGATTGCGCTTTTAGCGCCCTCTACTTGGCTACAGGTACGAACTATGAAAGAGCGGGAGATTTAAATTATTATTATACTTATTATTTTTAAGGCAATTAAAACTAAGGGTGCCCTTAACCAAAAACAGTGAAATAAATGGAGATACCTACTCAATTTTTATATTATCATGATATTAAAGGATATAAATACAGCATTTATAATCCTTTTACACCTTTTTATTCAAAGTCTTACACGCTAATATAAAATTTGACTATCTCCATTTATTTCACTATTTTTGGTTAAGGGCACTCTTAATTTTAATTTTCCTTTTTTTATGGGAAAATGATTAAATGGGAAGAATTGAATGGGAATGGAAAGAGTGACCAATTATTGTATTTTGTATTAATTTATAATACCCCTATTCTACTAAATATCTAGCTACATTGTACTTACAGTTAAATAGCTACATTGTACTAGTTATATACATATTTACAGTTTTATGATGGCTATTATTTCTTTTCATTGTGCTATCTATTGATTCGATCCGACTTGAGTACTATACCTCGAGATGGCTCCAGGAATTATTTATCTTTACAGGCCTAGAATATGAAGATTCACAGTAGAATTTTTGGTTTTACTGCCTATTAGAAACAAACCTACCCCCCTACATCAAGGGGCATACAATTATGCCTTGTTCTCGGCCATGATATTCCTTCCATTCTATATCCAACATCCAACTTAGCACACCTTCTGGTTCACAACAGGGCCTAGACTGGTCGGATGATATTTTAACAGAATAGACCTTGATATCTCTTTCACACTTTCATTTAATAATTAAATAGGAGGGCTGGATGGTATAATTTCTAGAAAGAATAGCCAGTGAAATAAAAACTTAGGCATGGACATTACCTTTCTTACCTTTGTCTGCTATTTTTTAATAAAAAACAACTGTTTAGTTTGCAGAAAAATAAAATTAACAATCAAAAATTTCTTAAAAAATGATCAAGCCTTGTACTACGCCGCGTGCCGCTTTTTGAACAAACCATAGTCAAAGAGTAGTAGTCTTATCTACTCTTTGATGAAGCCCTGTTCTCAGAACGACGTCTTGTCGGCCTTGTCGCTGGCGACACAGTTTGACATTTCAAACAACCAATGGGAGCTGTACTAAATTTAAAATTGACAGCTGTTTGAATTTTGTACAAATCTCATTGGTCCTCTTGACGTGTCGCTGTTCTGAGAACGGGGGTGCAACTTTGTTCATGTTTCAAATCTGAAATTATAGAATTTGTATTATTATTGATTAACACGCAAAAAAAAATTTCAACTGCAAATAATTCGAAAATAAACTGCAATTTGGCAACATCGACGATGTGCGCTTGCGTAGTATCGATGATCAAAAGCAGCAAATATGGGCTTCAAGGTCAGCCACCGGATCCACACCTTTACCAACATATTTTTTATTACTTTAATATAATTTAATGTATTAAAAAATATGTCTATTAACTTTACACAGCAAATGGTAATGGTGTGGATCCGGTGGCTGACCTTGAAACGAGTTTTTGCTGCATATAGTCACAGACACTACGCATGCGCACATCTTCGATGTTGCCAGATTGTGAGTTATTTGGAATTATTTTCAGTTGAAAACAAATATGTGCTTTTCAGTGTTTTTTTGTCAATATATACCGTATGATCGAAAAAACGGCGTCCAGTTGTCTGGGAAATGACGATTGAGGATATTTCCATAAAATGACAGCGATCTTCATTTCATAGTCATTGCTGACGCTATTTTTTTTTTCAATGATAGTACGCGGTATATTATTTTAATATTTCGCACAACACGTGAACGCTTATTATTATGTATTTTCAGTTCAATTAAAATATTAGAAATAAAACTCTAGGATTCCTACAGATTATTATGCTACGTTTAAAATAGTGCCTATTAAAAATTCCAAATTTTTTTTTTCTTTAAATTTTTTAAATGCTGTAAGCTCCATGTCATGTTCATAATAGATTTTTTTTAACATTCCATCAAAACTACGGAGCCCTTAAAAGGCCTTTTAGCCTCCGTAATTAAATTTGTGTAGAATCAGCTTCAGCAAACATTAACAGTTACCTTGTTTAATTCTGCTTATACATATATTGTATTAATTTTTCTGCTACATTTTATAATGTATAAACAAAAAAGGACTCAAATAAAATAACAATTAAAAATATAATTTATAAACCATATTTTTCCTAATTGGAAGTTGAATAGGATATGCAAAATTAAGATATTTAACATTTATTTTCCAGACCAAGCATAATACAGTATTAAGATGAAGACATAACAAAATTATAAGAAAGATCTTAGTATCTTTTATCACAAACTAATTCTTAATTTAGTCTTTGTATTTCATTATTATTATTATCTTATAAAACTAATAAGATCAAAAAACTCAACCTTCACCACATTAATTGTCAAGATTTGGAATTATAGGAAACAAGAAATTACAGTAAATTAAGCAAAAGAAATAACAAAGTACACGATATTAAATACTGTAATGTATTTTACGATACAAACCATCTCCCTTCTAAAGAGACAAAGATAAAACATTTAAAGTTATTTTAGTCTTATTCAAACACACTCTTCGATAAAATCCACTAACTTGATATTCTATGCTTTATATTTTTAAGAAATTTATTTGATACAAACATAATTATAATCAAAGTATATTATATTAGTAACCATTATATAATAGGTAAAATGTTACCTCTATCTCCGATTGACGTTTATTGTTCTATAATAAGACCCGTCATGGTAGTACTTTCCAAAAAAAACATCAATACATTATATTAATCAAAAATATTGTTGCCTGTAAATAAGTAGAAATTAAATTAACTTGGAAAGAAATAAAATAATTCTTAATAAGTTTTTTTAAAAACCATTACAGAAAAAATCGCGTAAAGATAAAATTTTAAATTTAATGTAAACATTATAAATAAATGTTATTTAT